TGTGAACACAGCAGCAACTGAATGCTACCCCAGATAGTCACGCAGTGTGAAAACAACTGCGATCCGACGAGTTTGAAAATCGTGCAGTGTGAACTCGGCATTACCGAGACATGGTGCATGTGTTCGTGATGGTGATTTTAGTTACATTGTTCCGCAATTAGATGGCGACAAGAGACTGTTTTTATGAGTCAGCACTGCAGTAAAGACTTTTACATTGAAAAATACGCTTTTGTAAACGGAAGTTATTTTTACTTTCAACAACGACGCAGCTAACAAATGCACTGAGCAGCGCTGTCATCAGAAATCACTCTTAACAGATGAAAGGATATTGACGATACGACAAAGATAACGCTTTCCTCAGTGGACATTCAAACTTATGTTTTATTGTGTGTAGGAGACTGAGATGCTGTATCAGATGCAGGTATCACACTCGCTCAGTCCATCTCTCTCTCATAATACTTTACTCTACATAATACAGCAAGCTTTTACTACAGTAATACAATAAGCTTTCAATGAAGCAACTAAATATTCCTTCGTTACTAGCTCTAAAGTGACGTTTTTGAGTTAGTAACTGAGACTGGGGCTCAGCTGTTAAACTGTCAAATTTAGATTTAAATTTGTGGCAGAAGGAAGTAGTTCTGCAAAAAGAGGGCTTTTAAAGACACTCCATTGTTGTTTCTAATTTATTTACACACTCGTGCCGTCAAACTGTTGTATAAACGCAAGAACAAGCGGAGTGATACAAAATTGTGAAAGGGCATTCCTGTAGCGATACCAGTACAATATCTCACGGTTCTCAACCAATCAGATTTGAGAACCAGAATGAGCTGTTGTATAAATACATACATATAAATTACTTATTAATTTAATAATACCATCTATTATTACACGTGACTGTGAAATTAGAAAACGTATTATTTCGCCAAAACCAATCTTACATTAATCACAGTCTGAGTGATGCTATCTTAAACACAGCACAAGTGTATTAGATTCATTTCTAAAATACATCCTAATAGAGATTTGACTTCAGACCAGTTTCAATAGCGAACCCTTCACTCTGTTTTGATTTCAACTATTTATTGGACAGTATATTTTCAGATTATAAAATGACTAAAATCCTCCAGAGAACAAGGATTTCTACTGCAGCATGTGAGCAGGCATTCAGTTTAGTGAAAGAACAAATCTGACCTCATTCATTGTATTTTTGGAAACATATCTTCTTGTTTGCTCCAGAAAACAAATGTGTTCTGCAGTAAAGCTGTTGAGTTGTTTTTCATTTCCCAAAATGCAAAAGCAACCGATGCGGTGAGTATACATTTCCACATTCTGTACTGCAGTTATTTGATCCTGTTCAGATGGCTGTAATCAGAATTCAAAGAGGGTGTTTTCAGGATTCTGAGCTTTGGCTTCCATAAATGCAAAACACTGTACAGTTGATGCATTACTCATGTGAAGGCGCTGATCTTTAGTATAAAAATTTTTTTTACTTTTCCATCCTCTGACAGAATCATCTGGCTGGCAATAACACACTGTCCCACTATTTCTCATCCCTTTAGTAGTGACACATGGAGTGGATTTACGCACTAAAATTCGCTTATGAGCGCACAGTGCAGAATTACAGGGACATATTGGTCCAATCATCCTATTATAAAACTTTTGAAATTAACCTTGAAACATATGTCCCCCTTTTCTTCTTATAAACAGATGAAAAAAAAATAAAAATAAAAATTTATAATGCCCAGAATATTCAAACTATATATAATATTACTCACTACAGAGCTTTTGTTCAGGTCAAGGTCTCAGAACAGTCCAGATGGTTGAGCTGTTTCCTCTGATAGCAGACAAATATGACAAATTAAACTGAATTCAAGAAGTGATAAAACCAAGGGAGTTTCTGTTCAAATCTTTGGGTTCATTTGACTCATGAATACACACAGCAAGAAATAATGTAGCATGAGTTGTCATGGCATTTATTGGTCAGCAAATTAAACAGTATATACTCTTTGTATAATATACAATATAATATTTCACACGGACATAAACAGTTTGTTTCTTTTGTATCCTTAGTAAGTAAATATTTAAATAAAAAACGTTGTTACACTTACAGAAAAAATCACATACATTTCACATGAGCAATCACAAGTTAAAATCCCATGAAATAAGTTAAACCCATGTGGAAACCCATGTGCACATTCACACCATTCCAAAACCACGTTTCCCATGTGCAAAGCACATTTCAGATTTCATAACATGTGATTGTACATGTGATATTCATGTGTTTTGTTCTGTAAGGGTAACTACTTTTTTTTTAATTAATGTTACATATTTACTTATTAACATACAAAATCCACACTTAAAATATGTTTATATATATATTTTAAGTGGGATCTATGAGTCTGAATATGTTGTGGGCCATATACTGGCATGTTCAAAATATGGAAGAAGTGGGAAAATTTACTTCCAAACAAATGTGGAAAAAGTTAACATTTTCAGCCTAAACCTGTTAAATCCCCAGTTGAAACCTTTAATCTTGGGGATTGGATGTATGTGAGTGTCAGAGATATGTTCTGTTAGTTTCTGTTTCATGAACGTTTAGGCTGTTTTCGTTAGTTTCATGGGCTGCGTCCGAAAGCCTAGGCAGCTGCCTCACTGCCCTATCAGGCAATGACTTTGCAGGCAGTGTTTTTGCATGAAGGCACCTCATGAAACTGATTTCGGACCGGCTTCTGAGGCAGCGTAACAGCCTAATGATCTACAACAAAATAGAACGAGTTTTGGTGATAACTAAATGAATAATTAATTACTACAATACTGATTTCTCGCTAGAACTAACATCAAAAGTGCAAAAAGTTAGTCAGAAATATACATTTAGACACAAACTGACCACCAAACACAACTTTCAGACGCCATCTTTGTTTTTTAGCTCAACCATCACAGAATGGAACGCACAGGATTGTGGGATATCAAAGGCAGCGAAGGATACATCAATGTTGCCGTCAAAAATCAATCAGATGAAAGTATCTCATGAGACAGGAAGTAAAGCTAACTTTGGATTTGGACATTTCCCACTGCTCTTTGGTTGTCATAGTTACTATATGATTAGTTCTTCAGTTCAGCTGTGTTTTGTTAATTTACCTAGTTTGTCAGTATACTTAAGTTCCTCCTTTATTCCTGCGTTCAAGGTCCTGTCTCGTTTACGTTTATGGTGTTGTATACTCTCGTCTGTTCTGTTTGCCTGTGCATTTTGGATTAAAGACTGTGTGTTGATCACTATTTCGGATTGCCTGTCTTCCTGTCCACAACACTATGTAACAATAGGAATGTACAACAGTGTCAAAAAGCATCTCACTTTTATTTTTATGATAGGTAACAACATTTTCATTTTCAGTATTCTGCATCAACAATATAAACGGCGATTTGTAGCAAGTTAGAGGCCATTCACACTGTACACGTTCTTCCGTTCAAAAATAGCACAACTGACTGACATATATTTTATACATTTTTTTTTTACTATACAACTGCTTTTTAAAAATGGAAATAGTGTCTAAAAATGTGATATTCATGGCATGAGAAGCTGAAAAAACAAACAGCACGACCCGATCCAAGATAGCACCATTAATCGATGTTACCGCAGCTGCTAGTTGTAGTCTTCCGCCAATGTATCCATGTAGTTTGTATCTGCATGAATTAAAAACCCAGAGAACAGACTGTCAGCCCAGCCGGGGTCAGCAAACAGGCCGTTCTGGTCCTTGTAGAAGATCTCCAGCCACACCTCATCCTCTGGGTTGAGAAACATCACTGTTGAGCCAGACGCCACGTCATGGTTCCCTGTGTTGGCATCAAAAGTCTTTATCCGGAACTGTCCGTTCTGAACCAAGCCAATGGCCAGGTGTTTGTTGGCCAGAGTGATGTCATAAGAAAAGTAGTATGTTCCTGGGTAAGCACAGATGAATTTTCCCATCTCTGGGTTGTAGTGGCCGCCCTCATTAAACAGGACTTTGTTGAATTTGATAGGTGCTTGCTCAGTGGGATAGCTACTGGTGATGCCTACAGAGAAAGCGGATTTGGGAACCAAACTTCCACATCTGCAGACGCCTGGTTTTCCCGGAGGACCTCGTTGGCCCTTGTCACCCTTCTGTCCGAGATGTCCTGGAGGACCAGGAGGCCCTAAATCTCCAGGATCACCTTCAGGTCCACGTTTCCCAATGAAACCTCTCTCTCCACATTCTCCGAGTTTTCCCGTCGGCCCGACTCTACCTCTGAGGCCTGAAACATACATATTTTAAGCCAGAATCCTTTCAAACAACATCACAATTGCACTGGCCCAGTATGAAATGATTTAGATCAAATGAACATTAATAAAAAACCATCAAACTCAGACTGTAACATAGTTTGATATGGATGTGGTTGGAAACGATAAAATGCAATGATGTCTATCTTTCTCTAACTCCGATTTCTCCCAGGACTAGAAATCTGGATTTCTAACAGGATGTTTATCTGTGTGTGATTTCTCACAATGTGATAACCTGTCATTACATACCAGAAAATTTACTGAAGCAAACATCCAGACATGTTCTACCACGCATGTGTCAAACTCCGGTCCTGGAGGGCCACTGTCCTGCAAGGTGTAGCTCCATCAAGCTCCAAAACACCTGCCTGGAAGTTTCTAGTAATCCTGAAGACCTTGATTAGGTGTGTTTAATTGGGGAGCTGAACTCTACAGGACAGTGGCCCTCCAGGAACTGAATTTGACACCCCTGTTCTACTGCAAGGGTTCTCGAGGTCCACTTTATTGCAGAGTTTAGGTCCGATCCTAATCAAACACACCTGAACCAACCAATCAAGATCAAGCTATAGCTGGATCAAGAGTAAAGCTAAAGACTCAAATTGTACCAAAGAGCAGAATGAGGAGAAAAACCTAGAACAGGGTTCCTCAAATCTGTCCCTGGAGAGCCACTGTCCTGTAAAGCCTAATTCTAGCCTAGGGATGTAACGGTATGAAAATTTCATATCACGATTATAGTGACCAAAGTTATCACGATTATCAATATTATCACGGTTTTGTTCAAATTAGATGAAAACATTCAAAAAGAACTGATACACACACTGAACACACTGAAATAAGTTTTATATTTGAAAATCAACAAACAACAAATACAATTAGCAGCTATATGCACTTTTTTAGCATAAATCGATTAAATTGCCTTCAGGACTCTTGTAAAAGCCAAAATACGACCAGACCACCGATTTGGTCCTCTTAGATGGCTGAAAAATCTCCCGAGCGCTGTCACTGCCTTCCGCCATTTCGTCTTGTGCAAAAAACAACAACAACATTGCATGCTGCTTCTGCGTCAGACTGATGCTGGCTGGACAGGATTTACCGCGAGTTTTCAAAAGCGCGATAATCAAACACAGTTTTGATGATAATTAAATTTTAAACGGTAATACTAACCATCAGGGCATTTTATCGTGATTTATCGTGAAACCGGTTATCGTTCCATCCCTATTCTAACCATAATCAAAGTCTAATCCAGGTCTTCAGAAGCTGCGTCTCATTTAGAAGGCTGTGCCTTCTGGACATCACATTTGTCAGCTGCATGAGGATGTCTCATTTCAGAAAAGTAACCATTATAAAACTGACAGAGTCATTAATTACTGTATTTCTTTCTTACTTTGTAATGTAATGATTACTTTTCTGTATTGAGGCAGCCTCAATAATGTATGCTCCCAACAAATGTGACTTGTGAAGGGCACAGCTATTGAATTGAGACACTGCAAGAGTAGCAGGTAGGTGAGTTTGATCAGGGTTTAAGCTAAACCCTGCATGGCAGCGTCCTTCCAGTGTCAGATTTGAGGAACCTTGACCTAGAATAATTTTCAGTTAACTTTAGCTGCAAACATTTTGTGATCTTTCACACCATCCTAGACTAGCTTTGCCTGAAAAACCATTCAGTTGGTTAGGTAATTCCTCTACCTGGTTCTCCTTTTTCTCCCTTTTCCCCCTTCCGCCCTTCCCTCCCATCTCTTCCTGGGATTCCAACATGGCCATCCTCCCCACGAGGCCCAGGGGGTCCGGTCTTTCCCGGTGCTCCTGGTTGACCTGGAATGCTGCAAATAAACTGAGGCGGGGCTCCTTTGGATCTGGCCTCCAGCATCTGACCCATAATGCACAGAGAAAGACAGACCACACCCACAATCGTCCACATCATCAGACCTAAGCACAAAAATAGAAGAGCAAGGATTAAAAAGAAACCAAATTATTGACCCAAAATGAAGAATTTAAATTTTTGGCTGAACTCTTCCTTTGAGGCCGTGACACACTAAGCCGTTGGCAATAGTCAGACACCATCAGTGGCTCTGATTGGCTGTTCAGCTTAGTGACCCTGTTGAAAAAAAAACAGCATATGCTGGTTAGGTATGTTATGAAGCATGGCTGCTAGATTGAGCTGGTTTAAGCTGGTCCTGAGCAGGAGCTAGTTGCTTAGGACCAGCTCAAACCAGCAGCCATGCTTCAAAACATACCTACCCAGCATATGCTGGTTTCTTCAACAGGGGAACCAGTGCATGAGAAGAAAAACCGAAGCGAGAAAAGCGAGAAAAGCGAGAAAGCAAAAGCACACACATATCTGAGCATTCCAGTCCGTGAACGTTTTCATAATGTCATGGCCATCTGGAATTAAGCAAGTGAAGACCAGCTGATCAATATTACTCATATTCAAAATGGTAAGTTCAGATGACTGCCACCTGCTGGTATGGAGAGCTGTTTACTCATGCGAAGGCGCAGAACACACGTGTTCAAGCACAAAACTTTTTGGCCTTGTTCTTTCATGTCAGTTTGGTGTGTCACTACTGCCCTCATAACAGTATACAAGGAATAAGAAGTGTCTCTATTCTGGAACAACAAACTGTTCCACATTAAGAGGAAGAGGATGATTCTTTGAACTTCATAACAGATCGTTTTATTGTTTTGACTGTTTGCTGACCACACATACACACTGATATTATTTGTAATTTGTGTATTAAATTACAAAAAATGCAAATCTTATTAAAAAATCTTTAAAATGTATATACGTTAACTGCATGTGTTTATTATTTGCTTTTTATTGGATCATATCAGGAAAAAGATGATGTTATAAAATTGAAACATCTACTAAAAGAGATTTCAGATCAACAGGGCAAACCCGCCAGAGCCAAGTTTACATGCTACATAAATGAAGCACAATACTGAGACTCTTAAAAATGAAGAACTTGTCCAGTCTTGAAAGAGATGAAAACAGTGATAGAATAACATGTGCATTGTACTGTACTTAAAACAAGACTGCACAGCTTCTCGGCACGTTTTCATTAGGAAAATTACTACAGGAGAAGTTTATTATATTTACACATCTGACTTCATCCATGCCAAGTATTCCAAGATCACATATTGTGTCCTAACAAATTCAGATATGAATTTGTGTGCATGTTCAATTATAGTACCTAAACCATGTGTTTACATAAGTCCACAAATACTCTTGCGGGGCGTTGTGTGTTTTGACATGCATGCACTCAGATGCATGGTATGCGGCAGAAGTCATCTTATTTATCTTGCTGATTGATGATATGGTAATGAGTCTGAGGCTCTGATCCAGCTCATTCCAGAGCTACAACATCACTGAATTACATTGGAAAGCAACATGATCGTAAGAAGCTGAAAATACTGATTCTAGTATCAAATTATTGTCATAAGTTGTTGTATATGTTAATACTGCCAAAATGAATGTTGTCTTATTTTTCAGTAAAAATAAGCATCCTTAAAATAAGATAAATGTATTTATTGCATTTAATTTAATTGCTTTTAAAAATAAGCTATTAGGACATGTTTTTAAAGAATATATCATGAAGTTTGTTTTTCGTAACCCACTGGCATATTTTATGCATAATTTCAAACAGCAAGTATATGCTGGTGTACTTAACACAAGGAAAAAAAATAAAAAATAAAAATATATATATATATATATGTACATGTGTGTGTGTGTGTGTGTGTGTGTGTGACCCTGGACCAAGCTCATGAAAAATGGGGGCAAAAACAAAAGTGTTGCGGTTATAATTTTGTTCAGTGTATATATATATATATATATATATATGTGTGTGTGTATGTGTGTGTGTGTGTATATATATACATATATATATATATATTGTAAAGGCTTTTTGTGATATTTGGAGATTTTGAGCCATGAAATTGTGATTTTGTTATTTAAGTTTGTAAAATTAGCAAAATACATCTGGTAAATGCACAGAAGAGCAAACAAGCACATGTTGAGAGACACAAGAGAGTTGGACTACATCCATGCTGGTGTGCTCATCTTTGGCTTTCTGAATTTTGCCACCCAAATATTGAGACCACCTGATTTGTAGCACTCAAATAAACCATTCTGAAACCATACAAGTAATACAGGTCCCGTTGGGACTTGGTCTTGCTAAGCTGTGGTGCTCATGTGATCTCTATCAACAAAAAGTGTCGAAAATCATATCACCGTTCCCAAAAGAATTTATATTTTTAGAAATCTGTCCTTCATAGTTGTACTGATGAGCCAAGCACAGCTGTGACAGCAGATTGGGCCGTAACACACATTTATACGCTCTTAAATGTGGTTTGAGATGGAGACTGCAAATTAAACATCTGTGACGTTCAGCAAAAGTGTGAATTGACAGCACCAAGCATCCTCCCTTGAGAGACAAACGCTGCTACTATGACAACACACTCAACTCTCAAAACTGCAGTCTGTTAAAGGACAAGCTCACGCAAAAAATGAAAACTAATCGATTACGAACGCTCATGTTTTTCCAAACCCATATATCTTTCTTTTGTGGTGTGTTTGCTTTTTTTTTTTTTTTTCATACAATAAAAGTAAATGTGAACTGAGGCTGTGAAACTCCAGAAATGACAGAAAAGCACATTAAAAGTATCATAATAGTGATCCATATGACTTGTGCACTATTAAAAGTCTTGCAAAAGATTTGTGTGAGAAACAGAACCAAATCTTGAGTTGTTACTTATGTGTTTCTTTTATTGTGGGGTTTGAAACAACATGAGTGGGAATAAATTATTATTTTTTTTTTTTCCGAACTATTTCTTTGCATTTTCAACACATGAAAAACGCGAGACCTGATCTTAGCACAATAAATACATTAATTAATATAATCTCTGATATCTTTGAAAAGCATCTTTTATTAAAAAGTTACATCTCACAACTGATGACAAAACCAGAAAAATGCAGCACCTTTGAACCTGTTTAATAAATGCTCTAAACAACAAAAGTAGTGACTTGCCGGTTTCTGTGGCAGGATTGTTTTCGTCGTCTTGATTTATTCTTTCGGTGCTGTCCTTTGCTTGTTTGAATTCCTCAGTTTGAGCCGTATCCTAGTTTCTCGGCTTCAGATTTCTGTGCTTTACTTCTTTTCTTTCTTCCTTTCTGTACATCCATGAATAAGTCGAACGTCTGCAGCAGATACATATATGGCATAATCATCTCTCCCTCTGCACTGCTGTCACTCTCTATGGCTTCTCTTTATCTGTCCCCATGCTCATGCATGTCTCCATCCCTCTCCGTTCATCAGTCTCTCTGAATGAGTGCATTTCTGTAAGATGTGTGCAGTGATCTTTCAGCATTCAGGAGAGAGTTTTTAACCGCCCACTTAAAAGACACGCCTCCAGCGTTCCTCAGTGAGCTCACACATTTCCCACAGCAATCACACACTACACAATGAAGAAATTATACAATGACATTGCTGCACAAACTGCACCATATGACTTTATTTTGTCTTCTTTACATTCTAATCCATTTCATTGACACATTTTCCGCCAGCAACCATACATTAATATCTACAGTCTCCACGGCTTGCTGAAGATCCGAAACCTTCACCTGCAAAAATGTGACACAACACTTGCATATAAACTAGAATAAAAGATTGATGTTTGATATAGAACTCAGAAACTGCTCCGTCTGCTGGCTGATGGCGTTTCTGCTCAGGTCCAGCTCAACAGATATGGACTGACAACTAAGAACTGAAGCCAAGTATTGACAGCTGCTGTCAGTGAGACCACAGTTGGATAATCTAAAATGAAAACAGATGGAAAAAAATGAAGATTGTATCATTCCTAAATATGCATTCTCTGTTTGTTTACATAGATAAAATGTCAAAGTCAATGATTATTTAATCTTACTTTAAAGACTTCATCGCACAACTGCCATCCTGTAGTCCAAGACAGAGCAGCCGAACACCTTCATCTTTTAGGTTGTTGTTGTTGCTTAGGTTCAACTCTTTCAGGTTTAAGCTTTGGCTCAGACCTTTAGCTGCTAAACCGCACATATCTGGAGTGAGTTCACAAGAGTCCAGACTGCAGAGATATAGAATTCAAAACAATTATAATCTTTAAAAGTGTAAGACTTTTATTTTATATACTTGATGCAACCATCCAGCCTTAAGGCAAATACTGACCACAGCTTTTCGAGAGCAGTGTTTTCTCTAAGGACGGTAAAAAGCTGCATTATTCCAGTGCATCCTGGGAAATTTTTGCTCAAATCGAGCTCTTTTAGGCCGGAGGGGTTTGATCTCAGAGCTGAAGCCAGAGATGAGAAACCCTTATCTGTCAGTCTGCAACAAGACAGCCTGGAGAATATGGCAAAAAAAGTTTCATTTATAATTCCATGATAGTGAATGGACATCATATTTCAAACCTGTTATGTAGGAGTTGATTAATCAATCATTATGAGTACATATGACAAGATATTTTCTAGCCTAAAAAAAAAAACTTTATGCAAGTCTTTTTTAACTTACAGTAAATTTTATTTATCAACCTCAGGAGGTCAAACAAAAAAAATTACAGGGCTGCACACAAAACGTAGTTATGTTTTTTTGTAATTACATTAGTTGATTAAATTTATTTCTGCTACTTCTCATGTTAGGTTAATTTTATGTTGGATAAAAGTTATCACAACAAAAAATATATTATCGGTTTTACACAAAGACAGCTCTCAAACACTCCAATCAAGTGCTGTGAAAGTGTTAAAAATGGAAGCCTAACCTTAATTTCTCAAGTTTACAGGATGGATCCTTCAGTGAGTTCATGAGCTGCTTCATCCCAGAATCCTGCACGTCATTGTCAGAGAGATCTAGAGCTCGGAGACGAGAGTTCTCCAGACCCAGCCCACAACTTTTAGATGTGAAATTACATCTCTCTAATCTAAAAATGGAAAATTCTTGGGAATTAATTTTAATACACCAACGGGATCTAAAGATACAGCCTCACTTCCTATTCACTTGCAAATTTGTTGATATGGTTTGGCATGTGTCAGTGGCCATGTGATACAAAAAAAAAAAAAAAAGTAATATCGAGTTGGGCACAATTTGAAACCACTGGTATCACTGAACCTGGCTTGACCCAAGGAACCAAATTACATGGATTATGAAATTATTGAAAAGAAGCATAATGTAATTTTGGGTTGCTGTTTGCATTATAGCAGTGGTTCCCAATCCTGGGGTCCGTTCTTCGTACCTCGCTTAATACATCTCAGATAATTTGACAGATCCCTGTGTTGACATGTTCATTGGAAAGGGCAGATGTATCGATACTCGAAACCATGATCAGCAATGCGGCGAGACAGCAACGTAATGACATCATAGAATTAATAAAGACACCTGACGAAAAACTTGACAAATTCCTGGACCTTTATAAGGAAACAGCCAAGTGAACAAAACTACATAAATGTTATAATAGATGAATGAAATGTGCACTGTTTTTATTTTATTTTAATTTTTTTACATGATTCCCAATTATTTATATTCACGATTTCTAGTATTTGCACAGATATTACATTTTTATTTCAATGTTGTAATTAGCAATTCGTGTCATTTTACCTTTGAAGCAGATTTGTTACGTGACAGCATTAATTCAAGTTTCTTAAGGGTCAAGATCATGTTATCTGCATCTCCTGCGCTCCATCAAGCCACTCCGTAATATCTGTCAGCACTCAAATTAATTCACGACTCAGATTAACTGTACAGCATGTGTGTGAGACTCCAATACAAGTTATTATTTTATCACAAATAAATCTTTCAATGAGTAAAACTAGCTGTCTATAGTATTATAGATTTCACAACAATATAATATTATTTTCTAATTAATTTTTAAATTACTATTATTTTAAATGATTGTCCCCGGATTAGTAGTGTACAGTGTGCAGGTTTAAGTTTACGGAGCTGTTGCTATGACAGCAAGTCCAGGATGAGCTTTGAAAAACCAAATAATCCAAGATCATGCTAAATCGTCAACAATCAAATCCAGCTAACTGAGTTAGCGACGTACGGAGAATGGGCCCCAGGTCCTGGAGTAACCCCAACTCTATACTTAGGAACAACAACAATTTTGTATGTCTCCCTAATCAAATACACCTGATTCAACTCATCAGCTCGTTAGTAGGGTTGGGTATCGATTGGGTTTTTTACGATACCGGTGCCAAATCGATACTTTAAAACGGTACCGGTGCCTAAACGGTGCCTGAACCGATACTTAAAAAAACAAAAACAACGATGGATAACATTAAAGAACATTCAAAATATTTCAAATAAATATACATAGCATTCACGTGCTTCTCGGATGCTCTCATTTCCCGAGTTGTGCTTCCCTTCCTCTAAGGCTAATAAATAAATTTCACGATCTGGGTCATTATTTAATACAAAACAATATTTAATACAAAACCCATGTTATATAACATTTTCAAATGAAAATAGCAACATGATCATTTTATAAAGTATGCGTTCATATGTGTTGAGGGCTAGATTTTCGCTGGAGGAAACAGCTGTGGTGTGATGAGGGGTAAACGCAGCGAAAATTTTACAGTTACGTTAGATGGGAAACCGAATTGCTCCCTCGTGACCTTTTGTAAACTGTATGTATGACAAAGAACTGCACAGATACAGATATTATAACAATCTATCGATAAACACACACCTTGTGTCCTCTGTTTCTGTTTGAGTCCGCTCGCGCTGCGGATTGAAGAGCGCGCTGAAAGACGGGGAGGAGACGAAGTCTGCCACCCTTTTCATATGAAATTTAAAGGCGACTAACTCTGAGGCGATCACGAATTTGTGTACAGTTTATGGAGCTAATCGCTATAGCCCCGCTAAAAATGGCCTAGCGACGCCCATGCTTCTTACGTCCATTTCGAAGAACCAGGACAAATATTTCAATCGATCGCTCAGGCATTTAAGTGGCACCAAAAATGAGGCACCGAAATCTGCGTTCTGATTCGGTTCTAGTACATACCGGTTACATAGGTACCGGTGGTTTCGGTACCCAACCCTACTCGTTAATAGGGACCTGAAATGTTTGCGTCAGATGAGAGAGACATCCAAAGTGTGTACTGTTGGGGGTTCTCCAGGACCAGGGTTAGAGACTCTCTCTCCCCTATGAATGTACCAAATTTGACCGGGTAAAATGCCCAGATTACCAATCCAGCCCTTTCTACACCCCTTCAGTTCTTGGCCCCTAAAAAGTATAAGGCGGCAAATAAAAGAGACATTTTCCACACATAAGATCATTGCACACCTACCTCAACTCTTCGAGGTTACAGTTTGGGTTTGCAAGTAAACCAGAAAACATCCCAACTCCTAAATCCCAAAGTCTATTATCACTTAGGTCCAGTTTCTTAAGTTGGCAGGGTTTTGAACTCAGAGCAGATGTGAGGAAAGCACAGGCCTCCTTTGTGATCCCACAGCTTGAAAGCCTGCAAGAGAAAATGAATATCTGTTGAATGACTGAATGTCAGCAATATAGTCATCAACTCTTTCTACTAGTTCTGTTTTAGCAATTTGGCAAGTCAAATATTTCTGTGCTGCGTTGTGCCATGTTACCACAGGGTTGAGCAAATTAACACATCCTCTGCACAATTTAGTGCATAACCATTTGGTCAGTGGGGCACGGTTTGGTTGGAAAGATTAATTTTGTCACATTTTCCAACCCATCCAAAGATGAGTTGTGTGACTTCAACGAAGGATTATTGAAAGAGGGAATTTGGCTGAAGGATTTTGACTCCTGAACTAAACTGATAACTACCATATCAATATTCACCAAGTCACTGGAAAAAAATAAAACATAAATAAAGACCTAAGAGTCTCCAGCCCACAGTCTGGCACTAAACCCAAAAGCCAGGTTGCTGCATCATTTCCAATGTTATTGTAGCTCAAGTCCAGTTCCTTAAGATGTGATGGGTTTGACGTAAGAGCAGCAACAAGGGCTGAACAGCTGTCTCTTCTGAGTCCACAAAACTCCAGTCTAGAAGAAAACAATGGAGAGGGATAGCCATTTACCAACTGTATTATGACATCTGTGATATGTGTTGGATTTTAATACTGTAGGTAAGACAGAGGCAGAAATGTACTTTAGTGTCTGTAGTTTGCAATGTGGACTCCTCAGTCCAGAGCAGAGACTTTTCACCCCTTTGTCTCCAAGGTCATTGAAACTCAGGTCCAGTTCTCTCAGGACATTGGGATTGGACTCAAGAACAGAAGCCAAAGGCGAACAGCTTTTCTTCGTCAGTTTACATGAGGACAATCTAAGAATTATAAAACAAATCTCTTACCATATCTTCAAAACTGTACCTGTACTTTGAAATGAGAAGTTTGATGGCACTTACATGGCAATCCGACTGGCTTTGATAACGGGATGAAGCTTGAAAAGACACTCATCTGATTTGAAGAATTTTCTTAAGTCAAAAACCTCCAGTCCTTCATCACTGGTGAGCAGCACAAAGACTAGAGCCGACCACTGCGCATTTGAAAGTACCTCCATTGAAAGTTGTCCGGAGTGAAGGTACGTTTGGATTTCCTTGACAAGAGAGTGGTCGTTCAGTTCATTGAGGCAGTGGAAAAGATTGATGGACCTCTCGGGGCTAAGACCTGTCCCAAGCTTTTCTTTTATGTACGTGACCGTGTTCTCATTGCTGTGTGTGATGTGTCCTATTTGTATTGAAAGGTGGCGAAACAAGGTCTCACTGCGCTCCTGTGAAAGGCCGAGGAGGAAGCGGAGGAAAAGGTCAAAGTGCCCATTCCTTGACTTTAAAGCCTGATTTACTGCACTCTTGTGTAGATCAAACAGAGATAAATCCATGCAGAGCTCCCCAAAGTCTGTGTCTTGGAATGGTATCTTGAATTCATCGCTACTGGGCTTTTGAGTTGTAAACCAGTGAAGGTGAACAAACAAAGCAGCAAGGTACTCTTGGAAACTCAGATGCACAAAACAAAAGACCTTCTTTTGGTATAGGCCGAACTCCTCCCAGAAGATCTGGGTGCAAAGTCCTGAATATACTGATGCATCCTTGACATCAATGCCACACTCTATCAGGTCTTCTTCGTAGAAAATCACAAAACCTTTCCTCAGTTGCTGAAAGGCCAGTTTTCCAAGCGACAGGATGTTGTTTCTACTCAAGTGTGGATCCAAGTGATGTAGTTCCTTGTACTTGTCTTTCATCTGCAATGTCTGGAAGATCAGGAAATGTGTGTACATTTCAGTTAGAGACTTGGGGATCTGACAACTCTCTGCTTCACTCAACATTCTCTCTAGAACAGTGGCTGAAATCCAGCAGAAGACTGGGATGTGACACATGATGTAGAGGCTCCTTGATGATTTCATGTGTGAGATGATTCTATTGGCCAGACTCTGATCACTGATTCTCTTCCTGAAATACTCATCCTTCTGAGGGTCATTGAACCCTCGTACCTCTGTGACCTGGTCGACACACCCGGGAGGGATCTGACTGGCTGCTGCTGGTCGAGAGGTGATCCAGAGGAGAGCTGATGGAAGCAGATTCCCCTTGATGAGATTGGTCAGCAGCACATCCACAGAGGCCGTTTCAGTTATATCAGAGCACCTTTTGTTGTTCCTAAAATCAAGAGGCAGTCGGCACTCATCCAAACCATCAAAGATAAATATGACTTTGAACTTCTCCAAGTTTGAAAGTTTGAATCCCTCGATTTCTCTAAAGAACAAATAAACAAGTTGCTCCAGTGTGTACTGCTCTTTGCCAATCAAATTCAGCTCCCGAAAAAGCAATGGAAACACAAAATGAACATCTTGGTTGGCTTTTCCTTCAGTCCAGTCCAGAACAAACTTCTGCACAGAGACTGTTTTTCCAATTCCAGCAACTCCTTTAGTCAGTACGGTTCTGATGGGTTTGTTTTGTCCAGGTAAGGCTTTAAAGATGTCATTGCATTTGATTGGAGTTTCCTGTGTCTCTGGTGTCCAAGATGCTGTCTCAATCTGTCTCACCTCATGCTCATTATTGACTTCTCCAATCCCTCCTTCTGTGATGTAGAGCTCTGTGTAGATTTTGTTGAGTAGGGCTGGATTTGCCTGCTTAGCAATACCTTCAAATATACATTGGCTCCTGTTCTTCAAACTGGATTTAAGCTTTTGCTGACAAGCATCAATTTGATGAACTACATAAAATAAGAAACAAATTGTTACTCCTCTTTGTCTGCACTTAATGTAAACTATATGTTCTAGCCATGCATATACACGTATACTAACATTGAAGAAGTTTGTCAAAGAGGCTTTGCTCCTTCATACACTTCAGAATATGTAATGCGATTTTGACTGTTGCTTCTCTGGCTTCAAGAGCAAATTCATCTACTTCATCTGGTGGACTCTTTGTACACTCTGTGAGATCAGGGTTCAAAACGCTGTCGATTTTTCTGAGTTCCTTCTTTACAAAAGTGATCACATTGCGTTGAAGTTGCTAAGATGAAAAATACACATTTTATTGAATATTTTACTCTTCTTTTGAATGTAAATAATGTAAAAAGTAAATAAATAAATTGGCTAACCCGCAAAATAGCAGCAAGGGCCATTTGTGTCTTTGGGGTCGATTGGTGGTGCATTTCTGTTGGCTGCTCTCTGCATTTAAAACAAAGTATTAAACTTGAAAATTGATGAAAAATATGATTGAATATCTATGAGTGTTTTTAAGAATCAGGCAAAATGAATACAAACCGTTGGACGGGAGAATCAGTCATATGGAGATTAGTTGGTGGCTCCATTGACCAGTTACTCTGAACAGATACATGGGTGTGCGCAGAAGAGCTGAGCCAATCTCCCGAGAGACTTTGACAGAACAGAACATACAGTGATTTAATAGCTGAAATGCCTAATTCGTTAATAAAGAGAAGGATGTCATCATTCTGTGTAAACAGTGTAAGGGAAATCAAATATATGTGCAACTCAACTGGTAGAGCATGTCACAAATAACACAAATTCATGGGTTTAATGCTGATACAAATGTACAGCTTGAATGACTGAAGGTCACTTTGTAAATATTAGCTTATAGCAATCATAGTAATGATTGCATAATCAAGGCTCCTAACTAAAATGGTTGAAAAAATAAAGAATTTGCAACAACAATGTAGGCTTACATTTGTCCATAAAACTGAAAATGAGCACTGAATATTACCATAAAACTGAAAATGAGCACTGAATATTACCATATATATATA